CCCCCCCCCCCAGTGCTGACTCCCCGAAGTGTTGGCTGGAGAGGGGGGAACGGAGTTCTGACTTGTGAGCAGAGGTCGATGAGGGAATAAAGATCAGGTAACAAGACTTCTGTGGCGCGCAGCGTCTCCGGGCGGGGGGGCGTTGGGTTGTCTCTCGGGTTTGGGGAGAGAGTTGTCTGAGCGGGATCTCCGGTTCCAGGGCCGGCGTCTCGCTCTGTGGAGCGCCTCAAGGAGATGATAAAGGCCGGGATGAACATTGCGCGACTCAACTTCTCCCACGGCTCACACGAGGTTCGGGAAGGGGTCGCGGGAGGCGGCGGGGCTAGAGGTTGCCCCCGGGCCCTGGCCGCCGCCGCCTGAAATCCCCACTCGGTTCTGTCCCCAGTACCACGCTGAGTCCATCGCCAACATCCGGGAGGCGGTGGAGAGCTTTGCATCTTCCCCGCTCAGCTACCGCCCGGTGGCCATTGCTCTGGATACCAAAGGACCAGAGATTCGCACTGGGATTCTACAGGGGGTGAGAGGCGCTGGTGGTGGGGCGCGGAGGCCTGGCCTAGGGGGCGGTGCGCGGCGCACGGCGCGCGGCGAGGGGCGGGCTCAGGACTCGTGGCTCCGCCCCCAGGGCCCGGAAGCGGAAGTGGAGCTAGTCAAGGGCTCCCAGGTGCTGGTGACCGTGGACCCGGCGTTCCGGACGCGGGGGGACGCGAACACCGTGTGGGTGGACTACCCCAACATCGTCAGGGTCGTGCCGGTGGGGGGCCACATCTACATTGACGACGGGCTCATCTCCCTAAAGGTCGAGAAAATCGGTGCGGACGCGCCTCCCGCCCCTCCGCGCGGAGCCGGGCGCGCTCCCGTTCAGCTCCCGCGTTTGCCCTGTGCACCCCCTTCCCCGGCGGCGTCCTCCCCACCCGTTCCAGGAGCCCCCAGCATCCAGACTACTGGGCTCACCCTGGCTTGGGGCTGGACTGGCGGGGTAGTCGTTTCTTCCACAGACGTCCACCCGGTGCCTATTCGGTGGCGAGCCCAGGCCGGGGGCGGACGGACAGATAGAACAGGACTGGCTCCCAGTTTCGTGAGGGGTCCAAGCCCCTGTTCCGTAGGCCGTGACTCTGCCCCGGCCTCACCCCTGACCCAGGCTGGCTCTTTCCATGCCCGCAGGCCCGGAGGGGCTGGAGACCAAGGTGGAGAATGGCGGCGTCCTGGGCAGCAGGAAGGGCGTGAACTTGCCGGGCGCCCAGGTGGACTTGCCCGGGCTGTCTGAGCAAGATGCCCGGGACCTGCGCTTCGGGGTGGAGCATGGCGTAGACATCGTCTTTGCCTCATTTGTGCGGAAAGCCAGCGACGTGGCTGCAGTGAGGGCTGCTCTCGGGCCCGAAGGACAGGCCATCAAGATCATTAGCAAAATCGAGAACCACGAAGGCGTGAAGAAGTGAGGCTTGGCCTTTGTCCCTGTCAGGCCCTTAACCAGCCCCGTAGCTCTTCTCCTCTCCCATCTCCTCTCCCTGGCATCTCCTGGCTCTTCCCCAGCCCTGACTCCCCCAACCGCCCAGGTTTGATGAAATCCTGGAGGTGAGCGACGGCATCATGGTGGCACGGGGTGACCTGGGCATCGAGATCCCAGCTGAGAAGGTTTTCCTGGCTCAGAAGATGATGATTGGACGTTGCAACTTGGCGGGCAAACCAGTTGTCTGTGCCACACAGGTCTGGAGTGAGCCTGAGAGGGCTGGGGCATTCTGTGGGTTTGGGGACACCTGAGGGTGAATACCGGCACCTTAAGTCTATACTACGGTTTGCTGTCCAGTGTTTCATCCTCAAACAATGAAGTCAGGAAGAGATACTGTGACCTCCATTTTCAGAGGAGTCTTAACTGCCAGGATCACACAGTCTGTGACTGTGACCCTAAGAGTGTGGATGTCAGAGAAGTAGCTTCCCTGATCAGAGTGTGACTCCTACAGCTCTGACATCCAGATGTCCCCCAGATGCTGGAGAGCATGATTAGTAAGCCCCGGCCAACCCGGGCAGAGACGAGCGACGTGGCCAACGCTGTGCTGGATGGTGCAGACTGCATCATGCTGTCGGGGGAAACTGCCAAAGGCAGCTTTCCTGTGGAGGCTGTAATGATGCAGCACGCGGTAGGAGCTCATAATACAAGGCAGATGGGCTGGACAGCCAAATCCCTGCCAGACCCCAGTGCCCCTGCCCAGCCTGACCTCCTGATGCCTGCAGATTGCCAGGGAGGCAGAGGCTGCAGTGTACCACCGGCAGCTGTTCGAGGAGCTGCGCCGGGCAGCACCACTGAGCCGTGATCCCACTGAAGTCACTGCCATTGGTGCTGTGGAAGCTTCCTTCAAGTGCTGTGCTGCTGCCATCATTGTGCTGACCACAACTGGCCGGTAAGGGGAACACTGAGAACACCAAGACAAGCCTTTGGGTCAGGGACAGGCTGGGATGGGCCACAGGCTTGGGTTTTGTCGTGTCGTCGGAGATGAAGAGTATCATTCTGGGGCAAGAGAAGAGGTAGCTATGAGATCTGGAGGCCAGGAGAGGCAGTTCTTAGAGCACACCAGGAATTGTGCCAGTGAGCTCCAGGGGCCTTGAGGGAGAGGTGGCATCACTGAGCATTGATTTCCAGGCCATTTGGTCTCCTAGGGCTCAGAAGCAAGTCCTTTGCATTTAGCTCACAAAGCCTTACACTGCTGGGGTGTTGCAGAAGGGCCCAGGATATCTGAGTTCAAGTCTTTGCTCTGAAATGACACCTTGGATAAGTCACCCAGGTTCTATAAGCCTCAGTTTCCTCATGGGCTTGTGACGATTAACCAGAGACATTTGCAAGTTAAGTACTATACTATAAAGGTATCTTCTCAGAAGGGTTTTGTTTTTTAAAGAGGCTTTTCCTTACTATTTCATTTGATGTGTCCTTTATTATTTCATATCTTCCTTGTGTGGTAAGAAGGGCAGGCATTCTTATACCCACTTTACAGGTGAGAAAAACCAAGGCCCATAGAAATAGGACTTATAGCTTGTTGGTAACACCTGGAAACAGAACCCAAACTCTAGTTTCCTGATTCAGCACTCTCACGTTCTGGGCTGACCTTCTCTGTCTCCTTCAGCTCTGCCCACCTTCTGTCTCGGTACCGACCTCGGGCAGCGGTCATTGCTGTTACCCGCTCCGCCCAGGCTGCCCGACAGGCCCACCTATGCCGAGGAGTCTTCCCCTTGCTCTACCGTGAACCTAAAGAGGCCATCTGGGCAGATGATGTGGATCGCCGGGTTCAATTTGGCATTGAAAGTGGTAAGTCATCTAGACTTCTTCCCCACCCACCCCTGGATTTGTGTCATGAGCCCCCCAACCCCACTTCCCACACCCAAACAGCCTTGCCTCTATCCTCTTGTCCTAGATTTACTCTGTGAGGTTCACTAAGACTCAGAGCTGTTTTGGCCTCCATGGGAGATGCTGGGGGAAGAGGGCAGAGGGAGAGAGGTCAGGGCCTTCCCTAAAAAGTCAACCCAGCTGTTGCCTGCATCAAGTGGCCAGAGCCTGGTGTGATATAAGGAGAGGTGAGAGGAGAAAGGGGACCCAGTCCCCTGCAGCTGGTACTAAAATCTAATTTAAAACTGGTTATACCCGGCCAGGCGTGGCTCAGTGGTTGAGCATTGACCTAGGATCCAGGAGATCAAGGTTTGATTCCTGGTCAGGGCACATGCCCGTGTTGTGGGCTCGATCCCCAGTCGGGGGCGTGCAGGAGGCAGCCAATCAATGACTCTCTCATCATTGATGTTTCTGTCTCTCTCTCTCTCCCTTCTTCTCTCTGAAATCAATAAAGATATATTTAAAAACAAACAAAAAACCCAAAATCTGGTTATGATCATACCCCACCTCTTCTTATTGGCATAGCAACACAGGTGGACAGACTTGCTGCTTAGCAACATTCCCCATGCCATCCATGGACACACCTGCAGTTCTAATATACTGCAGCGATCGTATTTCTTGTGATGCTACCTGTGGCACATATTGTAGAGTTTGCCTCAGGCCTCTCAGTCTCTACTGGGTAGCCTTGATGAGGTAGAAGGTGGTGGCTGGTTCTCATTACAGGGCTGACCTGGGTCCCTCAGTGGCTGATTGTCATCTTCCCCTCCCCTAGGAAAGCTCCGTGGCTTCCTCCGTATTGGGGACCTGGTGATCGTGGTGACAGGCTGGCGACCTGGTTCGGGCTATACCAACATCATGCGGGTGCTAAGCATATCCTGAGATGCCTGTTCCTTCTGACTCAGCCAGCTCTGGACCCCTTCCCTCCTCTTGTTTCCTCTATTCCATGACCCCCACGCCCTTCATCTGTCTTCTCTACTCCCAGTCCTTCCTACCTGAGGCCACATCTACCATCTAGCCTCATTCCAGGGTCCCTTCTCCCTTTCCATTTCATGCAGGCCCTGAAAGTCTGTCCAATTAAGCACTGGCCATCAGGCAGCACCAGTCATACAATGCCTGCACCCAGTGCTCTCAGCTGGACCCTAAGATGCTCTGAGACTTTAATCCTAGCTAAACCAGTTAATTGTATTTCCCCAGGCTTCCCACGCCCGGAGGTAGGGGAGAAGGGAACAGGACAGTCACATCTGATCTCCACAAAATCATCATTTTAGAAATATTTCATATCCATGCAGCCTGCTGTTCTCATATGTGGCCTTATGGTAACCTGATTATCTTCTGAGAAGAGTGCTACCTCTTCATTGTAACTAATAGTACTATCAAAGCACCACTCTTTGGGGGAGCTTGGGTAGATGGATGCTGGGGAGCACATCTTATCACTGTCTTCACAACCACTTCTGGGATTGCAGACCACTCCCTGGCTGCTCTCAGGGCCATCTCATGCCTTGCAGGGTGAGTTGCCTTCTGCATGCAGAAATTCCTTCAGGCCCACTTTGTTCCCACACACAAACCAGGAGCCAAAATGAGTGTCTCTATTTTCTTTTTTAAACCCAGCTGTTTTGAAGCAATTATAACATTTCTCCACATACCCAGTACCCCAGAACTACTCACCCAAGGGTAAAGATTTGGGGTTCTTGCCCCACATTCTTTGATGCTGTAGGCATGGAGACACATGGGTGGGGTAAGGGATTTCTCTTGTCCCTGAGAAGGCAGAGGTGCTGGCGAGCCTGCCCTTCCCCAGCTCAGATACCTTGAACCCTCCCCTTACTCTTGCACCAACAGCAAACTCAGTAGGGGGAAAAAACTAAAAAGAACAGTCCCCCCTCCTTCCACCTCAGGTGACCCTTCTGCCCCTTCTAGATAGGGAGAGTGCTCCAGTATTGCTGCCAATGGAGTTGGCATGGGTGGGGGAGGTGCTGCCACATCCTGTCTTCCTACCAGGAGGGGATGGGAGGGCTAGATAAAGACATGGGTGAATAAAATGAATTGATAATAAAATTAGCAAATGAATAAATATAATTATTAAATAATTGAATAAATAACAAAGGGAAGAAGGAAAGAAAAAATGCCATCTCAGGATTCAGCCACTTGCCCCTCACCTGGGGGATCTAGGCTAGTACACTAAATAAGGAGGTGCCAAACATCCCTTAGCTTCAAGGGGGACACCACTGGGGCAGGGACACAGGGAGGAGGTGGCTCCCAGTTTACAAAGAGACAGTTCTACTACAGAGAGAGAGCGCAGGGAACTTGGCAGGAGATGTGTCCCCACTCAGGGGTGTAGATAGGGAGGTCCTCCTACACATGGCAGTGAAGGTGGATCCCCACATTGGGGACCCAAAACATTTGTTGACAGCAGTGGGGCCACAGGTAATTGGCCGGCTATGCTAGGAGACAGGAAGATAACCACTCCAGGTAGAACCTGTAGGTCATGGGCAGGGAAACAGACATCTAGTTACTTGACAGTGATGGCAGTGACAAGTACTTGTGCTTAATAAGGTGGGATCATGGCCCTGGTCCTTCACCTGGCAGGACCATGGCTGGGAGAATACCTTTGTCAGAGGGCTTGGAGTCACTTCTATTTGGCAGTGGAGACACAGTGCCTGGAACATGGTAGGCGCTCAGTACATTTGGTGACTGGGTGAATGGATTAGGAGGCTGCAGGGTGCCTGAGCTGAGGACAGAAACTATCTTTTTGGCAGTAAGGGGAGATATTCCCATGGGGCAGTGTTTCAGGTCCCCGGGCACACACTACTACACCTGAGAGCTTACCTAAGGGCTTCACATGTTGGCAGAGAGCTGGGGGCCTCTAGGGGTGGCTGGCTCAGGCACCGGTGGCCTGGGGAGCTGGGCTGTCCCTGGAGGCTTGGACAGGAGCCCTGAGGGTGCCAGGCGTTCACTTCCTGAGCCCTTACGCCCAGAAGCGCCATCACCAGCTGCCCGCTGAGGCAGAGAGGGTTGGGATGCTGAGAGGGGGCGGCCCCATGGTCCTAGTCGACGGCCACCTCCTCCTGGAGGGGGGCCCAGCAGGGACACCTGGGAGCGCACAGCCTGGGATAGGCTGGTGTGAAGGGTTCGGGCAGGTGGGACAGGCAGGCGGGAGGTGGATGCCCATGGCCCCCGTGCCAGCAGCAGGCCAGCTCGCCCAGGTACCAGCGGGGAGGCTGGGGAGCCTGATGAGCGAGCAAGGAGGGTGGCTGGAGAGTCAGGAGAGAGGGTCAGGGGTTCCTGCTGGTGAGTCAGGGCAATGGCCACACTGGAGGTCACGGCTGCTGCCTGCAGAGGCGCATGCACCAGTGGCTCCCACAGCACTGGTTTTCCACTGAGCTGAGCTCCTGTGCCTGGGGCCAGGCCTTGAACACCCCGAGCCATGTCCCTGTCATGCTGCACCAAGTGCTGCTCCATGATGCCCCCACTGCTGCCCGGACTTGGCTCGGAGCGTTTCCGCTGCAGTACGGAATTCTTCTTACCTAGAAGTTGTCCCGAGAGGGAGGAGTGAAGGATAGGGAAGAAATCCAGGATAAAGGTTGAATATCAAAGAGAATGTCAAAAAGTGGAGGAAGAGGGTTAGGGGGTGAGCGTAAGTGTCAGAGATGGTGGGGGTCAGGGACTCAGGGAAGGAGGGCTCGGGATGGGAACTTAGGGCAATATCTCGAGGGGTAGGAGATGCTGAGTGACAAGGACAGTGAGCCGCAGTGTTGAAAGGCCTATGGGGACATTTGCTGGGACTGGGGTGGGCTGGGGTATGACACTGGAGCGCTAAAGCCTGGGCCCTGGGACCATGGGGGTTTCTAACTATGGAGAGGGGGAGGGCCCAGGCTGGACCCAGAGAAGACACAGTGCACAGGCCTCACCAATGCGGCGCAGCCGATCCATGGCCACAGTCTCGAAGGCCCGGCGCATCATCGGGAACTCCTCGAGCACAGCATTGAAATGGTCCACGCTGAGTGAGTAGAGGCGGCAGTAGGTGTCGGCCCGCACGCTGGCTGTGCGCCGGCCCCGAGTCAGCAGACAGATCTCTGCCAAATTTGGGAGGAGGTCTTCAGAACCACTGTCCCCAGAACTTGTTCTCACTGGGCCTGCAGCAGTTAACCCAGCTCCCTCAGGCTCCTCCCCACATGGGAGAAATTAGTGATTAATCACCCGCCCCAGGATCCCTAAATGCTTCAAGCACTCTCTCCAAACTAAAGCTGACAATCAGACAGGTCTTGCTGGCCCCCACACTCCTAGTTACTCCACTTTAATTCTCAACACCCCCCCCCCACTGCTCTATCCCAAAGGGTGGGTCTGAGGAAGGACCCCTTCAAATGAACACCAAAGATAGCCCAGAAGGAGAAAAGCAGTGCCAAGGGCAAAGGGCAAAACGATAGAAATGCTAGAGGGGGGTTTGGAGACTCAGAGGTTGTATGAGCTTCAAGTCAGTTCGGGCAACAGCTGGCAGAACTACCTCCACTGCCACAGGCTGGATCGCACCCCCAGGGAGCCACCAAGCTCAAGCCCCTGAGACAGCACTGCTTTATTCCTCTCTGTCGCTCATCTCATAGGATCCTCAGATTTCACCAGTTACGGGTTCTAAAAGGCCTACTGGCCCAGAAATGTTCAACCTGGCTTTGCATTGGAATCTCTTAAGAAGCTTCTTAAAAATACAGAGCTCCAGGCCCCAGGACCAGATATTCTGATTAAGTAGGACTGGGGAGGGGCTGGAACTCTGTGATCCTGCAACATGGCTAGGCAGGGACCCTGATCCAGGGGAGCAGTGGCCCTCTGTTCTCTGTTCCAGTCCCCCCACCCTCCCTGAGGCCTGCTGACCCCCAAAGTAGGATCCGTCTGTGAGCCGGGTGTCCTGGGCGCCACGTGCCAGCACACTGAGCAGCCCATGCTGGATGAAGTACATCTTCCTGCCCATGGAGCCCTCACGCACCACAAGGTCCCCTGGCTGGAAGACCTCAAAGCGCAGCTTGGTGAGTACCGCCGTGACGAAGCTGGGGTCGGCATGGGCAAACAGTGGCATGTGGGCCACCAGGCCCCTGCAGGTGAAGTTAATGATCTCCTGGGAAGGGGAGGGGCCTGTCAGGCAAGCTGTGCCCCCTGTCCCATGCCCTGGGGTCATGATCTGCAAGGATGGGGATGCTTCAGTGGGACTATCCTTAAGCTCCGACCTTCAGAGCTCTCCCATGTGCCCCCAAAGGACCATCTCCCCCAAAACAGAGATCCCTGCCATCCCTCCCCATGTACACTTCAGCCCGATACAGACTTCAAGAAAGACCCTGAACCCCCCCCCAAAAGGCCTGGCTTCCCATGTGGCCCTCTGATGACCAATAGTCCCTACCCCAGATGGCATCCTAGAAGCCCAGGTCCTTGAAGAGCCCCCTCCAAGGCCCTGCCTGGTCCTACCTCCCGAAGGGGCTCGCTCAGCTCGCCTAGGATGTTCTCCTCATCGAACATCTTGCCCTGATAGCGGTGCTCATAGTACTCATGGATGCGCTGCCGTGTGTCGGCTGGCAGCTTGTGGAAGGACATGTACTGCTCCACCTGCTTGTACTGGAGGGCCAGCCAGGGGCCAGCAGGAAAGAGCACACAGAGACAGACATGGGGCCAGAACAGTGGAGGGGGGTGTAGGTGGAGGAAGGTCACAAACATGGACCACACCCAGAGAAGTGAAACATGGAGACAGAAGGGGACACAGAAGGCCACATGGATAATGGTGGATACAGGGAGGCACAAAGCACAGTCACAGGAAAACCCAGACAGGTGGAGGAGGGGTCCAAGGACGGGGCATAGGTCCAAACAAGGAAAAGGTACACATAGAGGCATGGGACAAATGGACATGGGGCAAGGAAGGACACAGAAAACCAACAGGGGAATGCATCAAAACGGGCTTCAAGTTCAGCTACCCAGCTTCCAGCACCCCTCCATGCCCACCCCTCCCTCCTCCTGTCCCCGCTAACCTTCTCTTGGTACTGACGCCGGGAGGAGTCCAGGGACTGGATGAGGGCGGTGGCGTGGCCAATGAACATGGCATAGCAGGTGGCGCCCACTATCATGCTGAGCATGGTGAGCCAGACGTCGGGCATGCCTACCGGGGCCTGCTGCCCATAGCCAATGCACAGCATGTGGCTCATGGCCTTGAACAGGGCGTGGGAATACTGGCGGCCCCACGAGTGGTTCTGGGGAACAAAGTATTGCACAGCTGGGCAGAGGGCCCTCAGAGCCTCAGTCTCCTCCTGGACCCTTTCTCTCTTTTGGTCCTTTGCCTATACCATTCATTTCAGATCTGCCTCCTAAAGGGCACTTAAGTTTGGTTCTAGGGAGCCCCGAGGCAGAAGGAGCCTCTTTTGCAGTTTGGGGGCCTCAGTTTTGGTCTAGGTTTCCTTCCCTGTCTGCTCCCTCCGACATGTCAGCACTTCCTCTGGGTCTCTTTCCCCCTCCTCTCACTTCCCCACCTCCTCACTACTGTCTTCCCTCTGGTCATCTCTCCATCATCTCCCACCTCTTGCCCCCTGTGGTCATCCCACTACTCAGGCAGACAAGCCCAGGAGAAGCAGAGCTGTGGGGAGATCTCACCACCATATGGTTGATGAAGACCCAGCAGTCGGGAGGAAAGTCCTGCAGCATGGGGACCAGGAACTGCAGACAGCCATCCCAGTGACATAGCAGCAGCATCATCCCGATGAGGTTGAAGATGCGAACCACAGCACTGGCCAGGTCATAGGTCATGTGAAAGATCTGAGGATTCCGAGGAGGGGCCACTGTGGACAGGAACCCTTCCTCACAGATTCCTCCATTCCCAGCCTTGCAAATTCTCTTTGAACCTCTCTCTAGCCCCAGCGCCATGATTTTTAAAAATGTGGCCATTATTTGTACAGAGCTGTACAGCACACATATAGCTAATGCAAAGTAGGCTGTGTTACTACTCTCATCTTACAGATAGGAAAACTGCTGCCAATCTTGTGCCCAGAATCACACAGTGTCACAGTGTCACTGCTACACA